GGGTGCAGGTGTTGCGGGGGGCAGGGGACAGCCTGCGCGCCGGGCTGGGGAGGACCGGGGCGGGAGAGCGCTGGGAGCCGAGAGGGTCTGGAGCTGGCGAAGCTGGAGACCGGGCGAGGAGGGCCTCTCGGTGCCCGGGGGGGAGGGGACCTGGGGTTACAATGTAGGGAGGAGGGGTGGGTGAAGGGGGATGGCGAGGAGAGTGGGGGGAGGGGAAGGGTCCATGCGAGGTGAGGCCAGGGATGTTGCGGCGGGGGAAGGGTCGGGGATGAAGGGAAGAGCATCATCCCCGCCTCAGCTCTTAGGATGATGGGGTGCAGGCGCTGGGCTGGTAGTGCTGGACCCTTCGCGCCGGTCCCTTAGGGAAGCGAGGGACCGCGAGCGCTCTGGGTTTGGCTGTGTTGCCAGGATACAAGGCTGTATTCTACACCCCACCCCCTGCACCTCGAGGCCCTAGCCCTGGAGACCTCCTAGCCTCCTCAGCAGTTGCAGAAACTGGGGACCTGCTCCCCGCTCGCCGGGCGGGTAGGGAGGGCCCTGGAGAGGGAGGGGCTGAGGGAGGGGCTTCTGGATCTTAAATCCTCCCCCTGCCGAGGCAAGGGGCAAAGGAGGGCGCCCCCAGCTGGGGAGGGCGTCCGGGGTGATGAGGAGGTGGGGACTGCAGGGGGCTGGAGAAGTAGAGGGGCGGGGCTGGGGAGGGGACTCGTCGTGGCCCCCCCTCCTCTCCCACGCACCCCCCTGCTACGTCAGAAGCTCCCGGGCCAGCTCCTGTCCTGTCGGTGGGGGCAGCAGGATGCTGGTGGCAGTAGAGGGGGCCGACCGGGTGCCTCCGCAGCTCAGCTGGCAGGGCCCGGCGGGGCGTGTGTGGCTGCTGGTGCGCACCCCCAGCCCCACGCCTCCCCATGCAGCCCTGGCAGTGCCTCCGGCGCTTTGCCCTGGCCTGGTGGGAGAGGACCGCGGAGGGTCGCGCCCGCTCTCCCAGGGAGGAGGTTGGACCAAGGGACCCTGGGGGCCGAGGGGAGCCAGGTGAGCAGGATCAGCAGTGTGATTTTCCAGCCCCTCTCAAATATTGCCGGACCTGGGGTTCTGCGGGCTCCAGCTTTGATGGAAGTGGGGTCCCCGGACGGGGCTTTTTGGCTGCAGGAAGGTGTTTGGGATAAAGGTGGGAAGTGGAGAAACTGAGCAGACCAGGGATCCGACTGTTCCTTCGGGTGGGGTTTGTGCCCTTTGGGGTGGGGTATTAAGATCCCTTCCTCTACTCTGGTCATCTTGGTCTGGGTGACCTTGAGCCACCTGCTTGGCAGTCTGACTCTGTGCCTCAGTTTCTCTCTTTCCCTTCTCTGTCCCTGTGGCTGGTCTTAAACAACTGATGGTGTGTCTGATGGGAGACAGGTACTGTAGAGATGAGAGGCGGTCATCTCTGGTGGCAGCTGGGATGGTGTGTGCTTGTAAGTGGGGGATGGTTGTGGTATATGGGTATGGGGGTCTGGTTGCTTCTGGTTGGTGTGTGGGTCACTCAGGGTAAGTGTCCAGGGTGATAATCAGCCAGAAGGAGTGCTCTTGAATAGGCTGGGAGCTGGAGTACAGACTTAGCCTAGTGTAGAAGCAAGGGTGGGTGAGGGCTCTGGACGTACGGAGGGGGCTCCCCCGCTCAGGCTGCCTGGTACCCAGGCACCATTGGCTGTGAGTGCAAAGGCTTTGCCCTGGCTCCTTGCCACTCTGTCTTGGGGACAAGAGGGTCTTTGTCTAATGCTGCCCCCCAGTCCTGCACCCTTCCTTCCTTTCCTGGAGGGCTAGCTCTCAGTGGCGACCCTGGGATGGAACCTCGGGTGGTGGGTCTCCCTTCTGGCTCCTCTTCTGGAGATCTGCCTAGAAGAAACAAATGTAGGCTCATTCTGGGAGAGGGGAGAGGAGCCTCACCAGGGGGAAGGGTCCCTAGAACAAGCCCTCAGAGGCATGATCCCACCCCACGCTTTCCCCCTGCCCCTCTGCTCACCTTCCACTAGGGGGTCTGAGGGCTCCGTGGTGGCCTCACTTACATAGCTTCTTAAAGGTAAGGAGTGACCCACCAGGATGCATGGCCCCTCGGAGAGTTCTCCCCTCCCTGTCCAGGGACCCACCCAAGAAAAGGGTTTAATTAGAGCCATTGATTCCTTTTTGGCTGTGGGCATCGATCTCGATGGTGTGGTCAAGAGCGGGGGATGGGGGATGGGGGGCCACAAGCTCTGTCTGCCGAGGGCTAACCTTGGCATTCTCTGCCAAAACCCCAGCCGTGGAAGTGCTGAGCAGGGATAGGGCTGGGCTCTCTGAGGCTCCCCGCCTCCACCCCGGATAGGTGTGGAGGGAAGCAGAGCACCCCAGCTGGGGGCCCAGACTGTGTTCAGGTGAGAGGAAGGCTGGTCACAGGAACTTGACCTCTGTCAGTGAGCGGGGAGCACAGTGAGAGGCAGCGGAGGTGGTTGAGAAGGTCCCTGCTATCACGGGGAGTCGGGGAGTCTGGGGGAATGAAGTGGCCTGCAGGTGCCCGGGCAGGTCAGGGTCCAGGGGGAAAATCCCAGGCTGGCCATGAAAGCGTCTCTTTCGAGGAATTCTAAGCACTTATCTCTAAGCTCTGGCAAGGAAATTCGTTTTCCTTCTTCATTTCTGTCGTTCGGGCCCAGATGGGGACAGTTCCTGCCTAGATGCCCAACTGTCCCAGGTCTGGCCTGGCTCCCTGGCCTTGTGGCCCCTGCCTGGACACAAGGTGCTGAGGTTGAGGCTCCTGGCATCCTTGGCTCAGGTTCCTGGAGTTGGGGGCGCTGGGGATAAGTTGTGCCCCTAGCCCACGCCTGCTGTGGGTGGGCCGGAGCAGGTGCAGCTTCAATAAGGCACTCAGAGGCTCTTTGAAGACTCCCTAGCTGGCTTCCCAGGGCCCGTTTGAGCAAAGATAATAAAAATCTGGCCGTCAGCGGGTTTGAGGGCCGCTCTCGCTTCCCTTCTTTCATTCCCAGCTCTGAAAAGAGGAGATGAAGGCTTTGGATTTGGCTGGGAAGCAGCTCCTGCCCCGAGGGAGAGAGGAGGGGGGGAGGGAGGGAGGGCCGATTCCTTGGCAGCCAGTGATGGGCAGAGGCATGGTCCCCAACCTCTGCTGACAGTGTAGCACCTCAGTGGCAGGCCTCCATACCCAGTACCCCTAGGACCCCACACCATCCTTCCCTTCTGTCCCAGAGTCCCCTCTTGTCCCCTCAGGCCCCCCCCCACCTCTCCTCTGCCAGTCTCCCACCTCCCATATCCCGGCCCCTCCCCCAGCCGCCAGTGTCCCCTCTCCTTCAAAAGTCCCCTTGCTCTCTCTCGGCCCCTCCCCTCTGTCTGTCTTCTCTGCCCTGGCAGCAACCCTGCTTTCTAGGACTGAGTGGAAGGCTGCAGCTGAGGGGAGCAGTCGCTGAACGGCCATAGCCGCAGCCCCGGCAGGGATGGGCCAGCCGACTATTATGGGCTGTCAGGTGCCATCACTGTCAGAGTGCAGGCTGGAGGGGCTGCTGTGCATTTGAGCACACTCAAGGCTGCATGGTGTGTGTGTGTGTGTGTGTGTGTGTGTGTATGTGTGTGTGTGTGTGTGTCCCCTCCCACACCACCTCAGGCACGTCACCTTGACATTGAGCTCTTCATGCCCCTGCCTCACACACTTCAGTTACCTTCTGGCAGTCACCTCCCCAACAGATTTTTTTTTTTCTTTTGCCCAGCCCTTCTGGTTCCTGTTCCCTAAAGGTACGTCTGTCACACAGCTGTCTCTCAACCCGTGCCCATCAGACTACCTTCAGGCTCCAGGGAGGCAAGTGGGATCCAGGAAGCTGCTGGGCACCATGCCAGGCCCTGGCCACTCTCCCCTGGTTAACCCCCCCCAGATAACAGATGATCATCAGAAACGATACTGAGCCTGGAGCCCTGCACTAATCCTGTCTCAGGCCTAAGATGTCTGTGTGACCTTGAGCAAGTCCCTTCCCTGGTCTCCTTTCTCACCTGAAATGAGGGGGCGGGGCTGGATGATCTCCAAGGTCTCTTCTGACATTCCTGCGATGTTGTGTCTCTCTTCTGGGTGATTTGCATATGCTTTGCATATATTAATAGCGCCTGCTTGCAGGGGGAAGGACACCACCCACATGGGGCCCAGAGTCCCGCCTATCTTTCCAGCTCCCCTCACCCATTGGCTCAACTCCCAAGGCTCCAGCTTCTTAGAGGGTGGGAGCTAAGCCCCGGGAAGGTGGGTGTCTGTCGTCTCCCTCGCCCCGTCCTGTGTCCCTGCTCTAAAGCAGGAGAGAGTATGTCTGGTCTTGGTGGAGGGGATCCTGCAGGGCTGGGCAGTAGGGTGTCAGATCGCTAGCGCTTCTTTTAGCCTGCAGCATGCTAGGTGCTCGGCTCGGTGCGTCAGGCCCTTCGGCTTCCGTTCAGGTCACGAGGCCAGTGGTGTCCTTTCCCTCCTGTTCCAGACCAGGCCCCTGAACTCTGGCACTGAGGGCTGAGACTTGAGCCTCAGACATGGAGGCCAGGAGAGAAGAGGTTATTTCCTGCCTAGCCTGAGACCGTGTGTGTGTGTGTGTGTGTGTGTGTGTGTGTGTGTGTGTGTGTGTGTAGAACCCCAGAGGCCCCGGTCCGCCCATCCCAATCTTCTACAGGCCCTGCCTCCTTGCCACCCAGGTGTACTCCGTACCTGAGTATGGCACAGGGCAGAGCCCTGGACCCCAGCCCTTAGTCTTTCGGTGGCTCCCTTCAAATACGTGTCCCCTGCTACCTGGGGCAAGGCTGGGATAAAGGCTGGTGGCCTAGAAGAGGTAGGATGAGACCACTGAGTCACGATGGCAGCTTCCGAAGGACAAAAATGAACTGATCCCCAGGGACTGGAGCAGAAGAAATGCAGCATGGGAGAACAGGGTTAGACTCAGCTTTAGGGCCGCACTGACCCTGGGGGCAGATTAGTTTCTGCTCATGGACTAGTGAAGAATACACGAGAAAATAGATAGCGTCTAGCACGGTGCCTGGCTTGTGGTGAGCAGACCGGGGTTCTAGAGACTGCTGGCCCCAGGCTGGCCTTGGGAGTGGATGTGGTTGGACGATTCCTAGAAGAGCTCTTTTCCTATATTCGGCTTGCTACATCTGCCACTCTCCGGCCATGTGCAACCGGGGCATGGGGCCGACTCCCAGGACACTCTGCCCTGGTCCTCAGTACTGGCGGGGTGTGGAGGCTGCGAGGCTGCTCTGCTCCCCTCTCCCTGCCCCTGCATAGGACAGCTGGAGGGGAAACAAGCCCCACGCTACGGCAGGAGGAGTGGAGGTCACAGGGAGAGTGTGGGAGGAGGAGGGGTCAGCGGTGTGGGAGTGCACGCTAGTGTTAACAGCTAGGAGCAGGGGACTGGTCAGCATGGCCAGAAGCTAACTCTTGTGCGTGACTGAGGGGGTCCTGGGTTGTGGGGCAAAGGAAGCAATGGGAAGTCCCTTGTGTCCCCTCAAGAAGAAGCTTAGACTGGTGTCTTCTCCGTTGCTGTGTGACCTTGGCAACTTTGTCGCCCTCTCTGGTCCTCAGTGTCCTTGATATGAGTAAAGAAGTTAGAAATAGAGGGCTTTAAGCTCCCTGTCAGTTGTCTAAGATTCTCCCCACCTCCTGTCCCCTGAGATAAGAAATGCCTTGTCACATGAAGGGTGGGAGGAATACTTCTCAGCTTCAGCTGAGCCAGAAGAAATGGCACAAGGCCAAGACATTTGGGCACACACACATGCACACACTGGCGCCTCACAGACAGCAGCAGCTCCTCACTCCCTGACTGTGACATACCTTGCCCACATCTGTCCTCCAGCCTCGGGGATGGATAAGGGGCCGGGAGCCCCTGCCAGCCCTGCGCTCCACTCTCTGGAGGAGCCGGAATCCAGCCCTTGTTTTCTCTCCTGCTGCGGGTCCAGCAGGTGGCCGGGCTTCAACCACTGCCACCAGGTTCCCTGACAACTGTGGTCAGAAGGCTCGGCTGCCTGCAAGACCCGGGGTGGAATATCCCAGCATAGGAAAGAAGTGTTCATCGGGTCTCATCGCGGGGGACCCCAGAACTCAGCAAGCCTCAGCCCCAGCCAGAGGTGTTTGTACGCAGTCTGGGAGAGGGTGACACATCCTTCTGTGTCCCCCCCACTTCAGTCGCCTGATAATTGCTGAGGGGTAGGTGTCCCTGCAGTGGCCCAGATACGAGCTGCCGCCTCATTGAGGGGAATTAAGCTCCCAGCTCCCCCAAGAAGGTGTGCAGGGCTTATAACAGCCCTTAGCAGACATGGACCCTCACTACCAACCCTGGTTCTCAGAAGCCTAGGACTCCTGGTGTGTTAGACAGGAAGAGGCCTCTGAGGGGCTTCCCTGCTACTGTTGCTAGATCAGAAGGGCCAGGAAAGGGGCTTCACCCACAGTGAAGGCTCAGGAAACCTTGAGCCCCATGGGGGCTGGTCAGGGGGCAGACAGACTGACAGGCGTATAAAGACAGACTCTCATTGTCTCGTCCACTCTGTCATCCACCTGACAGACCAGGGTCAGTCACCTGCCCTAGAATGAGGCAGGAAGACAGTGAAAAAAAAATTCTACTGGAGCATGTAATGGACCACAGTTAGACTTCAGGGAGAACTTCCCAAATATTGATGCAAGGGGAGGCTGGATGGGAGGAGTCCAGGAGCAGCTGGGGACACTCACTGCAGACATGGCTTCACTTCTCTGTACCTTGAAGTATTCACAGTGGCCGTCTTGCAGACTCCGGATTCAGTGAGAGAATTCGGACAGAGGTGGAAAGATTCTGCAAGAAACCTTGAAGCTCCTGAGACTCAGTGCTTCACCAGCCCAGAGGGCAGGGTTCTGGGGAGGGCGGTGAGGAGGGATTGGAGAGGGGATGCGAGCAGGATTGTAATTCCAGCACCATGGAGGGTGGGTCAGAGTTCAAGGTCACCCTGGACCACTCAAGCTTCTCAAAAACCAACCCAAGGAATGGGGTGTTGAGGCTGTCTTTGTACCCCTCGTCAGTCAGTCTGCCCCTCTCACCGGCCCCCAATCCAGGGCACCCTGGGGTGCTAGATTGGTGGTGCATTCTTTCTTGCTTTCTCAGTAGTCTGCCCACATCTGGGTACAGCAGCTGTTTCTCCCCGGGGTGTCCCTGCGTCGGGTAATCGGTGGGAAAATTGGAACTGGGAGATTGGCAGGGGCTCAGGGAGCGCGTGCAGTGAGTGCGGATGTGCCCGGGCTAGCCAAGGGAAAGCTGTGCCCAGATGCAGTGTCTCCAAGGAGGAAGGGGCTTTGTACCTCAGACCCCACGGCGAAAAATAGGTGGCATCTGTTAGCGTGGGGCAGGATAACTTTAGGGGGCTCTTCTGTGTGCGGAGGGAAAGGTATGAGGGAAGATCCAGGGACCCTGCTAGAGGCGGGAGCTAGCGGAAGGGCCCCTGGCAGGGATAAGGACAGAGCTTTTCCCTGCCGAAAGGCCAATCAAGGTTTAAATGTGAACACCTGTAGGCTGTGTAGTGCCCGTCTGCCCTGTTGGGGGCAGCAGGACATTCATGGTTGGGGATGAGACTGACAGGCTGAGGGGAGGGTCTTCGGAGCTGGGGGAAGGTCGGTGAGCAGTGAGGCTGACCCTCTGACCTTGACCCCATTCCTGCCCCCAATAGGAGACCTGGATAGGGGGAGCTGTTGGGCCCCCATGGGTGCTACATTTGGGGTCTTAGGTGGGCAGCCAAGCCAAGCGTCTGCTCCCTGTTCCCAGAAAGAAGATCAGGGTTGTCTGTCTGTCTGTCTGACGAGGGGCCCATGTTTTCCATGTTGTTCCTGTCTGTCCTCCTGTCTGCCCCAAGTGACGTCTTTGTCCTTTTATTCCCTGCCCCTCCTCCAGTCCCTGGTCTCTATCCCGAGGGGAGCCCCCCCCCACACCCCGGTGACCTCGGAAGGGACAGCTCCTAAAGCCCTGCCTTCCTGCTCCCCGCCCCCTGGCCCAGCCCTCCTGCCCCCTCGCTCATTCAGCTCATTCATTGGTTTCCTCCTTTCCTGTCCCTCCCCCAGGGCTCCAACGAGCAGCGGGAGGGAAGCCTGCAGGACTCTGTTCCCTCTGTTTAAAGTCTCCAGGTTAGTAAGCCAGGAGGGAGCCCACCTCGGCCACCTAGTCAGCACCCTCCCCTGCTTGCAAAGGGTCACAGCGGGCCACTGGGAGGGCCGTCCCCAGGGGGCCAGGCATACGTCAGGGGGAGGGGACGGCAGATCTCGGTGTGGGGAGGGCGTCTTGCCTGGCAAATATGTGTCTGTGTGTGCACGTGTGCATGTAAGTGTGCCTGTGTAACCTCACAGGCATGTACGTAGGTGTGTGTCTGCGTGGGCTGGGCATGGGCTAGAGGCAGGCCACCTCTGCCGGGAGATGAGGCCCCGGGGATTCTGCTGGGGTCGGGGAGTGGAGGGGGGGGAAGCGACCTCAGGGCTTGTTTTCCAGTCGCCTTATCCCTGAGTATCCGCTTCACTTTGGAGAGCCACTGAGCCGGCACAGGGTCCGGAGGGCACGAGAGGGAGACCCGGCAGGGCCTTGCCACCCTGCCTGGCCATGGCTGCCTTAGGGAGCCAGGTCGAGGGGCGGGCGTCTTGTAATGTAGCGGCAGGTCTAGCCTCCAGCAGTGGCATCTGTCCCCCATGCACCAAGGTGATAGCTCTTCCCCACTGACACCTTATCGGCTTCGCCTGCTAATGCTGGAACCCCCTTTGTACCATCCTATCTGTCCCTGTAGAGTGTCCTGAGACCTATGCTGTCCCACCCCATCAAGCAAACATTGACTCAGACTCTGATTCCCTGGAGGCTGGGAGCAGCTCAAAAAGTGCTAAGGCCTTTTGGATCCTGGACTAGGCAGCCCCTGCCCTCCTTCTGAGCTCAGAGCACCGGGAGTCAGTGCTGTGTGGTCTGGGGCGGACCCCTCCCCTCCTCTGGCCTACGGGTCACAGTGAGACTTCGCATGTGACGTGTGACAGGGCTGTGAAGAGGGACAGGCACTGACCAGTGGGGGTCCCGCCCGAGCAGGGAGCAGGGTGCTCTGGAGGTGGGTTCTCTTTCTGCCTCCTGCCCAGGGCTGGGCTGGCTGTGCCTGGTTGCTGTGTGGCACTGCCCACCTACTCCAGAGGTGAGGGGCTGCAGAGCCCCTCTGGGCGGTGACTCTGCCCTCCACCCCTCCTTTGATCCCCAATCCAGGCGGACGGGGGGGGGGGGGGGGGCGGCCCTCTTCGCTGCTGCGGCTGCCGCCGCCTTGATGGCTTTTTAATAACTTTGCTCTGAGACAATCTGCGGAGCGCTCGTTTGTCTGCCTCTTAATTAAAATTACCGTTTTCCTAAAAGAGCAGCCACGCTCCTGCCCTCCCCAGCCTCAGCTCCTAAACCGAGAAGGTGTGGAGGAGCCAGCACACCTCCCAAGCGGGCCTGGTCCTCCCCAGACCCCTGACAGGCCTCAGGGGGCCTGTGGGAGGAGGCTGGCTCTAGCAGAGAGGCCAAGGCCTTCTTTCTCTGCCTACCTGCTTCTAGAATACCCCCCCGTGACTGGGGAGGGGGGCTCACTACCTCCAGAGCCTTACTTCCTGTGTTCATAGAAAGGTGTGGCAGCCCCTGGTCCTGCCTTGTTCTGAGTGGAAGATATGGATGGATTTTAGAATGGGTGTGGACGTTGTTAGAATGCCGTGGGAGTGGGAGCCAGGACATCCGGGGTGGGCTTAGTCCCTACGCCGCTGTTTTTAGGTAGATCTGTGGGTTCCCCGGGCTCTAAGGATAAGGCAATGGAATGCAGGGTGCAGGTACAACCTGGCTGGTGTGGTGCGACCATTAGCTTCTGGTGGTGGTGGTTTGGGGGACACTGTGAGAGGTGTGAAGGCTTAAGATCTTTGTAATGATGGTTCCATAGTTCATGACCTCCTCTGCTGTTCCCAGAGTGGCAATGAGATGCTGTCTTTTGTGGGGGACAAGGTGGATATGACAGGAAATCATGTAACATGCCCAGAGTCAGACAGATGACCCCGGGCTCCAACCCTGCCTCCTCTCACTGTCCTGCCTTCCTCCCAAAGCCTGTCTTGAGTCTAGCTTCAGTCTTTCATGTTGTTGGGGCAGTAGGAGAGGCTGTCCACTCACTTTCTGCAGGAGGCATTCCTTGTTAGTCCTGGATCCTGAGAACGGACTGTGAAGTTCGTCTCCCCTCATCTCCAGTCCTCTCCCACACCTTCTCCATGTCCTGGGGAGATGTACCCAGTTCCACCAGGCCCGGTTTTCTGTTCTCTACACGGGGTCTTCTGTGGCTCCCCTTCTGGGACTGTATCTGGTGTATTCATGGTCATGTAGTCAATCAACAGTCAGCACAGGCCTGTTGTGTGCCAGGCAGTGTGGTGATGCCAGGACATATGAATCAGTTCAGCAGGACATGTGAATATTCCTGCTGTGACCTTGGCTCTTGGCCAGGATGCCTGAATAACAGGGTGACCAGGAGAGCAGTGACCACCCCGGGGACAGGCACTGGTCACCTGTGGGGAGGTCAGGGCCCTTCTCCAGACCTCCCTCCCCCTCTGCTTCTGTCCCATCCCGGCAGCCCGCGATGGCAGAGTGGTGACAGGTGCTGAGCCGCAGAGATGACAGGGCTGCTCATTCCCCCATAATTACCGTCTGATGAGACGCCAGAATTAGCCACCGCGTGAGCATGGGCATCAGATGCGGGCACAGTGCGGGAAGTGGCTGGGGGCGGGGAGCCGAACCTCTTTCCTTTTGAGCCCTGGGGCCCTGGGCAGCAGGATGGACGCAGCACCAAGAGAGGGAAATGGGCCGGAAGGAGGAGGCACTGTGTGGTTCATGTGCATCAGATGTCCAGTGGTTTGTGGTTTCCTAGTCCTCAAGGTGGCTGGGCACATTCTGGAGATGGCTGGCATCTGGACAGGGCTGCTGGGGCCCCGGACCGCTAACCAGAGACCCACAGGTAGACGGAGTACATGCTGTGTGCATCTTGGCTCCACAGTGCTGGACTGTGAGGACCCATGGTGTTCAGAGCTGGGGGTCCTGCATTTGATAACCAGGGCAGGCCCTGAGGCAGATGGATGGCTGGGAGGAACAAGCAGAGAGAGTGAGGGGCACCGGAAGCTCAAGATGAGGCAGTGTGATACTCCAGAGGGGGCGGCAGGGGAGTGATACATTGGACACAAAGCTCCTGTTTTGGGCAGCCTCGGGGGGGCAGTGTTTTTGTGGAGGGGGTGGGCAGAAGGAGGTCCTCTAGTACATTCCTAAGACTTTGTCTGAACTACTGGAGCAGTTCTGAAGGACACCAGCTAGGAAGGGTGGGGACACCAGGGGGACTTCTCTAGCAAGGCCAGTGCAGTGGGGACCTGGAAGCCAGACCATTCGCAGGACCTGTCCGACCAGGAAGGTTATTGGTGTAGCAGCCTCCTTCACCCCCAAAAGGAGAGGTCATAACCTTCCCCTGGGGCCCTGTGAGAGTCTGGGCTCTCCTTACAGCTTACTTTCAGGAAGAGGAGCCCACAGAATGATGGACACCTTTGCTGTAGTGAGGTCTCCATTCCTGGAGGCCTGCAAGCCCTGGCTGCAGGGCTGGTGAACAGGGGAGACTGTTTCTGTCACAGCCTGGGGCCTGTTGGGGGAGGGCTCTGAGCCTGTCAGGTTGAGAAGGGGCCTTAGGGACTCTTCCAGAAGCCTGCTCCTCCGCTGCTCTGCAGGCCGCTGTCTTCCCGTCTGTCCATCCGTTGCCCCAGTCCTGGAGACCAGGCCTCCAGTCAGAGGACAGTGGGCAGGAGGGTTGGGAAGTGAACAGATGGGGAACTGGGACTCAGTAGTAGAGGGTGCTGGGGAAGGAGGGTGGGAGGCCCGCTTCTCAGAGCAGGTGCGTCCTCTCATCTATGCCCATCTCGGGCAAAGTCACCCTTCCTGGGCTCCAGTCTTCTGACCTATACAGAGAGCAGCCTCACAAGGCTCCTTTGAGAGTTAAGTGAGTCAGAGCTGCAAGCTCCCTTTGAAGTGTCATGCCCGAGGCAGGGACAGGCCCTGCTCCTGCCTCTTTCCTGCTTTCTAGGCAGCACACTGGCTGGGTTCAACTTCTCTCTTCCCTCCCTCCCTCCCTCCCTCCCTCCCTCCCTTGTGCCCAGGATGTGCCCAGGATGGTGCCCAAGGCTTTGCACTCTACCACTCAGCTATATTCCCAGCCTGTTCCCCGACTTTGTTGTTTGAGACAGCATTTAAAGTTACTCCGGCTGGCCTTGAACTCTCTCTGTGGCCCAGGCAGGCCTTGCTTGTGATTCTGTGTCAGCCTCCGGAGTAGCTGGGATTACAGGCCTTCACATCAGGCCTAGCATTTTCCCTTCAGTAGCGCTGGGGTTGGAACCCACCACCTGCCCTGCACTGGGAATGCATCATGCCCGGCGCAGGGTTTCACCCTCTTTACTCAGGGGGCCCGAGTATATGTAAGCAGAGGGAAGACCCCAGTCTTTAGCAGATGCCAGGGTGCCACAAGGGCTTGCCTCCTCCTTCCAGCCTGCACTGGAAGGTCCAGGTTGGATAGCAGAGAGAACTTCCCCTGGCATCATGCAATCAGCCTCGCTTTCCTGAGCAACTCTGGCACCTGTGGCCCCTTCTTCTAGACCCCTCAGACACTAGCCTTGTGTCCTAGGGAGAGAAATGGGGTGCAGGGGGACTAGAGTGACCTACTCTGGAGGGGCAGCCTAGGGGCCGGGTGTCAGCTGGTAGGAGCTGGGTGGCCACGTGCCTCATTGTACCCTGGAGGAGAGGCCAAGCCTCTGTAGCCACCGAAGTAGGACCCCAGGAAACCTCAGCATTGGCACTGGCTCAATGGTTATCGTCAGAGTCCGCGGCCTAGGGGTCGACTGGGGCTTGATTTCCCTGGTTCCAAACAGACCAGACATGTATCAAGGAGGGCGAAGGTGCTAGTTGGTGCCTCTGTGACATCCCCCGTTGCCTTTGGTTTGTTTTTTGAGATAGGGTGTCACGTACTCCAGGCTAGCCTTGAACTTTTTTTTTTTTTTTTTTTTTTTTTTTTTTTTTTTTGAGACAGGGTTTCTCTGTGTAGCTTCGGAGCCTGTCCTGGAACTCACTC